ATTCAATATTCGCTGTCATGTGACGATATCGAGTTCATCTGGATGATCCCGGATTCCTCATCTACAAGTTCCTATCAATCATCAGCCTCAATGGGGGGCATGGGGGGAAGATATATGGGTAAATCTACTCGAAAGGCTATTACGTCACATCGTCCCGCTCGAAAAGTTATCGCATCTAATCATACCACCACCATGTCTCTCAGCGATGGCTCTGTATCATCTACTCATTCCCTCAGATTACAGGGACCTATCCAAGACAAAGATATGCTACCAAGATTGGATAGAAGTTGTAAAGCTCCTGCACATTGGACACATGATGAAGAAGCAAGATTCCTCCAGTACCTCCTCACCCATAAGGCGCAGGCTGGGGACACCATGAGCTTCAAAAAGTCGACCTTTCAAGGAGCTGCTGCTGATATCAGTCAGGTGTTTCCTAATCAGCGTGGAGGGGAAAAGACTGCAAATGTCTGCAAGACAAAGTGGACCAATGTAAGCACAATCACAATCATCCATTGCCAGCCGCAGCTTACTGTAACTATGTCTTAATAGCTAAAGGCTTCTTACAATGCCATCATCAACATCAAGAAAACATCAGGCTTTTCATGGAGTAACAAGCTTGGAGCAGGAATTACAGATGCACATGGGGACATTTGGGAGAAATATGTCAAGGTAAGTCAATGCACCCATTTTTTAACTACCCTGTCATTAAAATACCTGCAATACTAGAACAGTCCCACTGCGAAACCATTCAAGACTAAGGGGTTCTTGCACTTCAACACAATCGACCAGATCATGCCCCATAGGCCAAGCACTGCAAAAGGAAAGTTTGTCAAGTGTCAGCCCCAGGCCGGCCTGATGGTCCCAGCTGCACCTTCTGATTCGTCATCTTCCAGCGCTGTTATGATGCCCCCTCCACCTTATCCTCTGACTCCTGCTGCACATAACACCATGAATTTGATGCAGCTCGCGTCTGCTACTGACGAGATCAATTGTCTCCACTGGCCCAGGCATCCATGATGCCTCCATCCTCGAGCTCACACTCCCGGCCACCTACCAGTGGGTGGACTGTATCATCACTTTTTCCTCCACTATGAGCGACTTGGGGCTGACAAGTGTCAGCCGGGCTAAGCGCAAATTTAGCGCACTGCCAAATGAAGGAGAATGGCAATCACAGAAGTGGTCCTGTGCTCCCTCGGCATCTGTAGCGGCCCAGCAGGAGGGTAGTGCGGCGCTAACGTCAATTGCAGACATCTTGCCTCATATCATCAGGAGCCTCACCACAACCTCCGAGGCCGGCATCCACACTGCCGTGTCAGACCATCCTCCTTCCAGTGACCTTGGATGCGCCATCAACTTGCTTACTCAGACCAAGGGTTTGAGTATGGATGATGTTATGGACCTTATGGACTACCTATCATCAAACCCAACTGAAGCAGTTGTGTTCGCTAACTTTCATGGTACAGAATTTAGGGCCACGTGGGCATGGAGGAAGCTCTCCGTCATTTGTCATGGTGCTACCAGTACTACCTTGTAAGTAGTTAATAGTACTAGTCTTTTTCATGGTGCCGGTGTCTTCTTAGATAGATGATCTATAGATAAACACCTATAAAAACAAATATCTCCATGGTCAACGATTCAGACAAATACCAATGACTGATAACGTGGTCGTTCGTGGGTGGCTAGTTGTATACTACCCAAGGTATGTTCAGCTAAGGATAGTTCTGCAAGATCAGTAATACGATGGTCAATCCAATCTATGGACTTGACAGAAAACAAACAGACAATGGTCAGTCTGACAGTATGGCGATGACCAAAAGAATATACGGGTTTCTTCCTCAAGTTCCCTTTCAACAACAGTGCCTCGTACCAACTATACTCCAAAAGAAATGGTGCGGAATTACAATGATAAACTCCCTCAGCACAAAACAGGTAGAATCAAAGGTCAAGACTAGTCAAATGCTTTATTGTAGAACTCTTAGCTCAATATTGAACCTGCTGTCAAGGAACTCTTCTTTGAGTATTCAAACAGACTCAGGAACGGACGTCCTTGGGTTTACTACCAAGTCCCCTCTTCAACGGCTAAAGCCTAGCAGGCACAGAATATCTTGGCTCAGTATCACTACTCAGATGAGTGAGGTCAAGCTTCACTATCAATTCCTAAAGTCTCCCCACTATGCTACTACTGAGTCTTAGGTGGACGTAGAGACAACACGAATATTTTGGATCAGTATTTTTGGACAAAGAACACCAAAGGTCAGTGAAAGTAAAAGAAAAGAAAAAGAATAATAGAAATCAGAATAAAAGTGTGGCTGTACCTTGCTTGCTGGTTGCTGCACACAGTGAGCTCACAGCGGGTCGTTCAGTATGATGAGCTTGCAGTATTACTGTCTCTTGAGAATGTTCCTCTCAGTCTTGAAACAGTTCTTGACACTGGTACTGACACTTATCACACCTTACTTCACAACTTAGTGTTAGTTGGGCTGAGAAACACCCTACTACCTGCTGGTATCTGCTTGTTATTATTTCAAAAACTGGGGTCATTATATACACAATAAATGTGGCTGTGCTACTAGTGTATTCAAGAGTCATTAAGAGTCATAATGAGTCATATGTGCAAGGTGAGTCATAGTGAGTCATAGTGAGTCATATATTCAGAGGGAGTCATAGTGAGTCATTGGGTATTTTGCTAAGTCATGTGACCTGTCCAACCCCTGATGACAAATCCAGAAAGAGAGTAAGAAGTGTCACATGATATGAATCCTGTGTGTGGCTGTCTTTGCTTTGCTTTGTTTGAAGGGTGAGAATGACGCGAGCCTAGTATTTAGGGGTTTACTAATGTTTTTCCAGGACAACTTATGTGGGAAATATTTTTCACAGTCACCTGACATGTGTGGGATTTTGTCTGAGTCATCACCATGGCTGACTAAGCAAAACTCATCGCAGAATTAAATGTACTAAAATATTCAGGCTGCTGGCATATAGACTTGAAAAATAAAAAGAAAAGCAAAAAAAATATTCCCTTAGCCTCAGTCCAACTTCAGATAAAAGGGAAAAGGGTTTCATAGTGGTATTTCAGGGTATATGACTCATGAGAGAGTATTGGTCGTCCATGCACCGAACCGGTTTGGTGCAGGTCACCGGTCATACTACAAGTATCTGTTCAAGTCTCACTGTTACCAATATGTACAATTGTTGTCCATCTACAGTCTGTAATTCAACAAGAATGATACTGCCTACTAAGTCTTACATTGGTGCCGGTACTTCAAGTCCACACCAAGCTCGTTCTTCTAAGTAATCTGCCCACATGGCAGCCGCTATTTCATCACGATGCTGATCAGCTCTCCTCCTCTCCCTACTATCTGCCAGCCCATCAGCCAGATTCCCCTGCAATCTCTCAGGCAACCAGTGCACACCATCATCCATGTCATCATCACCAGTGATATCCAATATCTCACCATCTAAGTCAAAATCATGACTGAAGTTGGGGTCGCGACGATGGATGAAATTGTGCAAAGCACATAGGGCCAATGGTAAGCACGCCTGGATATCCATACCATACTCTGGAGGTAGTTGTAAGATGCGCCATTGGCGTCTGACCACCCCAAATATGTGCTCGATTATGTTGCGCAGTGAAGCATGGCGAAGGTTGAAAAGTTCTTTAGCGTTCTGTGGGCTTGAATACATGTCAAATGCAAGATAACAAATAAAAGAAAAAACTGACGTGAGAGATGCCTGACACCATTCTTTGAGGTGATAGCGCACACCCTGATATGGAACCAATAATGAGTCACAGGTGCCAAACCCTGCATCTGCAAGCAGGTATCTTCCTCCTGGTATCCACAGGTCATGTTGGCGTGCATCGTTCCAAAGTGCTGCATCAGCAGATGAGCCATCACAGCCACAAAGTGAGTAAATGACCAAAGAATCAAAATCACATATAAAAAGGCAATTCTGAGATATATAACCCTTCCGGTTATGCATAAAGGCCTGATCACTGAGTGTCGTGAATGCGCGGATGTGTGTACCGTCGACTGCGCCAATACATTTGTCAAAAAAATGAAAGCGGGGGTCATTTTGTATTGACAAAGGGATGGGGGAATTAATCGTCGGAAATTTGACTTGGGAGGAGTAGAAAGGGTTGTTTGAGAAGAACATAAGCATGCGCTTGAAGTATCTACATACATAATACAAATTAGTATATACTCACGGGCTAAGAGTTTTGGAGAGGAAGATTTTACCATGAGATCGTGTCAGAAGAGCATTGGAAACGCTCGCCAACATGGCGGGTTGAGAGACCAGTCACACACATATATAAAAAATAGCGAGTTGTTCCTCAACTGTGACACCATTGCGAGATTGAACGTATCCATTAGTCTTTAGAACTTGAAGCAGTTCTTCAAACACTTCCAGGTTGACCCCTAGATTGTGTCTAATTCGGTCTGGGTGGCCTGTGAGGAGCTCGAGCACCCATGCATGACCTGTCAAGGCAGACATATGGTATGGGATACTGGTGCGTGGGGTTAGGAAGAGTTGGTAGTATAGAGCTGATATGTGAGCAATGAGGCAAGTGATAAGTAAAAGATAACGACAGCGACAGAGATCGTCCATCTGTAGAGCCCTTTGTGAGTGTTGATGACGGTGTAGATGATGGCTCGTTAAAGATCCGGGATCATCTGGATGAACTCAAGATCGTCACATGACAGTGAATGTTGAATATTGAATATTATATATCACTGTCCGTACATAGCCTCAAGCTCTCGCATCCGCAACACTCACACCATTTATGGTGGCGCTCCTAAAGGTTCTCAAATTCGTGACCTGCAATGTGGCATTGAGGTTGTGATCACCACTCCTGGACAGCTCACTGATATGCTGGAGACATCAAAGACCCATCTTCGTTGTGTCACATATTTAGTCATGGATGAGGCCGATCACATGTTGGACTCAAGCCCCAGATACGCAAGATTGTATCTCAGATTCACCCTGATCGTCAGACACTAATGTTTAGTGCTACGTGGCCGAAGGATGTGCAGAAACTTGCAAATGTAAACATTCAACATATTGTGGTTGCATGATTAATTTCAGTATTTACAGGACTTTTAAAAGACATGATTCAGGTCAACATTGGGTCTATGGAACTCACTGCCCACCATAATGTTTAGCAGATTGTCGAAGTCTGCAGTGACTTCGAGAAGCGTGCTAAGTTGATCAGGCATCTTGATCATATCAGCTCTGAGAACGCTAAGGTACTTATATTTGTCGGGATGATCCTTGAAACATGTTGCAGATGACATCACCAAATACCTTTGCCAAGACAGCTGGCCAGCCCTCACCATCCATAGCGACAAAGAACAGTAGGTTTTATTTGTTACTCCCTCAATCTATTGAACATTCCCACAGGCAGAAACATGATTGGGTTCTTGAGGAATTCAATGCACTTGGTACCTGTCTTCCTGGACTGCGATGCCCTTTGTTCATGCCATGAATTATGTTTTTTATATAAGGTCGTCCAATCTCTGTTCCTTGTTGTGTTGGATGCGCTTGTGTCTCTTTATTGTTGTCATGTTATTGATTGTGCAATGTGCTATATGTCGTCTATTCCTATTATGTTATTCTCTTGTTCTGTACATGACGTGGTTGCATTGCATTACTGGCATCACAGATGTCAAGAATCTCAGATATGTAATTGTGAGTGTTGTAGTGGTCCATTACTAGTACTGATTGGCTATTAACTTTCCTCTAGAACTACGACTTCCTTAACAACTGTGAAGATTATATCCACCATATTGGTCATATGAGAGTAAGTTGCTCTCATTCAGCCCACCAATCCTTAGTCTAACTCTTCTCAGCATACCAGCATGAAAGGTACCTCATACACTACACTTACTTCACTACCGATAACTATACATGCTATGGCTATATATTATATATAACATCGCACATTTTTTGGTTATTCTGACTATCTCATATCATGGAACACGCCACTGGGATGCTATTGCACCAACTTTTAAGGAAATTGGTGGTCAGGAACATGAGTTATGATCATTTTACTGCCGACCATGTCTTGCTACCAAATATCTATATTGGGATGTCATAGCCCTATTGGGACAGGCTAGAATCTTATCAGGATGGCTCTATATGTATCATAGTCATATAACTACATGATCTTGAACCAATTTTGCAATATCTTTGGCCAACATGAGTGGATGTAGGGGGAGGAGAAGACATACAGCATCACAAAAAATTATTGGCAATCCAAAACTAACTCTATCATCTTCTGTGACCTTTAAAATGGTGGGGAGAAAGTTATTTGGGTATTTGCTGATGTTTGTGACCTTGGGTGTCAGACCACCTTCTGACCTCCAGATGCACCAAGCCCACCACCTCATAAAAAATTCCTGGTGTCTCAAGACTTGGCCCATTCTCTTCTGTGGCCTTTAAAAAGGTAGGGAGAAACTTGTTTGGATCTTTGCTGATGTTTGTGACCTCTGGTGTCCGACCACTCCAAACCTACAGGTGCATCAAGCCCACCACCTCCCAAAAAATTCCTGTCCTTTTAAAACTTGGTCCATCATCTTTTGTGACCTTTAAAATAGCGAGGATAAACTTGCTTTCAAATTTTCTTCAGTGTAGGACCTCCAGGGCCAGACCACCCCCTGACCTCCAGATGCATCAAGCCCACTGTCTCACAAAAAATTCCCAACCTTTCGAAACTTTGTCCATCATCTTCTGTGGCCCTCAAAATGGTGTGGAGAAAGTTGTTTTGGTATTCACTGATGTTTGTGACCTCTGGTGTCAGACCACCTCCGACCCCCAGGTGAACCAAGCTTACCATCTCATAAAAAATTCCTGGTGTCTCAAAACTTGGTCCATCATCTTCCATGCCCTTTAAAATGGCTGTGAAAAACTTGTTTTGCTATTTGCTATAGCATAGGACCTCTGGTGTCAGACCACCCCTGACCCCCAGGTGAACCAAGCTCACCACCTTACAAAAATTCCTAGCCTTTTGAAACTTAATTTTTCTGCCTCAGTGGCCTTGAAAATGATGAGGAGAAACTTGTTTGAGTGTTTGCATCAGCATAGGACCTCCATCCAGACCACTTCCTGACCTCGAGGTGTACTGCCTCACAAAAAATTCCTGGTCTTTCAAAACTTGGTCCATCATCTTCAGCAAACTTTAAAATGATAGGAAGAAACTTGTTTTGCTATTTGCTGCAGCATAGGACCTCCAGTGCCAGACCACCCCCCGACCTCTAGGTGTACCAAGCTTACCACCTCACAAAATTTCCTAGCCTTTTGAAACTTGGTTTTGCTGCTTCAGTGGCCTTGAAAATGATGAGAAGAAACTTGTTGAAGTGTTTGCCTCAGCATGAGATCTTGGGTGTAAAGTCATTCCTTCATCACCAGATGCACCAAGCTTAACACCTTACAAAAAATTCCTGCTCTTTTAAAACTTGGTCCATCATTTTCTGTGGCCTTTAAAATAGTGGGGAGAAACTTGCTTTTATGTTTCTTCAGTGTAGGGACATCCAGTGCCAGACCACCCCTGACCTCCAGGTGTACTGAGCTGATCATCTCACAAAAAATTCCTGGCCTTTCAAAACTTGGTCCATCATCTTTATTGATCTTTCAAATGGTGGGTAGAAAGTTGTTTGGGTGTTTTCCACAGCATGGGACCTCCAGTCCAAACCACCCCCCAACCTCCAGATGTACCGCCTTGCAAAAAATTCCTAGTCTTTCAAAACTTGGTCCATCATCTTCAAAAACCTTTGAAATATTGGGGGGAAACTTGCTTTCATGTTTCCTTCAGTGTAGGACGTCTAGTGCTGGACAGCCCCTGACCTCCAGATGTACTAAGCCGATCACCTCACAAAAAATTCCTGGCATTTTGAAACTTGGTTTATCATGTTCAGTGGCCTTGAAAATAATGAGAAGAAACTTGTTTGAGTGTTTGCATCAGCACGGGACCTCAAGTTCAGACCACCCCCTGACATTCGGGTGTCTTAAGCTTATCATCTCATAAAAAATTCCTAGCCTTTTGAAACTTGGTCCATCGTCTTTAAAAACCTATAAAATAGTGGGTAGAAACTTGTTTAGGCTTTGTCCACAGCATGGAACCTCCAGTGTCAGACCACCCCCTGATCTCCATGTGTACCAAGCTTGCCACCTCATAAAAAAATTCCTGGTCCTTCTAAACTTGGTCCATTATCTTCACTGACCTTTAAAATTGATGGATCTCTGGTGTCAAATCATCCTCAGACATTTAGGTAGATCAGGCTTATGATCTCACAAAAAACTCCTGGTCTCTCACAACTTGGTCCATCATCTTCTGGAGCCTTTAAAATGGTAGGGAGAAAGCTGTATGGATGTTTCTACAGTGTAGGACCTCTGGCATCAGAGCACCCCCTGATCTCCGGGTGTACCAAGCTCACTGCCTCACAAAAAATCCCTGGCCTTTCAAAACTTGGTCCATCATCATTAGAAACCTTCAAAATGGTGCAAAGTTTGCTGATGTTTGTGACCCCGGGTGTCAGATCACTCCTGACCTCCAAGTGCACCAAGCTTGCTGTCTCATAAAAACTTCATGGTGTCTCAAAAATTGGACCATCGCCTTTTAATACCCTTGAAAATGGTGAGGAAAAACTTGTTTGGATGTTTGCTACGGCGTAGGACTTCTGGTGTCAGATCTCCCCCTGACCACTAGGTATACCAAGCTTATCACTGTATAAAAAATTCCTGTCATTCAAAATTTATCTGTCATCTTCATTGACCTTGAAAATATTGGGAAGAAATTCCATTTTGTCTCTGCTGATGTTCAGAATCTCTGATGTCATGTCATCTCCTGAACCCTAGATGTACCAAGCTCAACACCTTGGGAAAATCTTTTGAGATCTCAAACCTTAGTGCATCATCTTCGGTGACCTTTCAAATGGTAGGCAGAAACATGTTTTGCAGTTTGCTACAGCATGGAACCTCTGATACCAAACCAGCTCCTGACCACCATGTATACCAAGCTCATCACATCACAAAATATTTCTGATGTCTCAACACTTGGTCCATCATCTTCTGTGACCTTGAAAATAGCAGAAAGACACTTGCTTGGCTGTTTGCTCCAGTTTGAGATCTTTAGTATCAGACTATCCCCTGACACCCAGGTGTGCCAAGCTCATCACCTCACAAAAAATTCTTGGTCCTTCCAAACTTGGTCCATCATCTTCTGTAGCCTTTCAAATGGTAATGAAGAACTTGTTTAGATGTTTTATACAGTATAGGACCTCTGGTGTCAGACCACCACCCAATCTCCGGGTGCACCAAGCTTGTTGACTCACAAACAATATCTAGTGTCTCAAAACTTAGTCCATCATCATCAGTGACCTCGAAAATGCTGGGGAGAAACTTGTTTGGCTGTGTCCTACAGTGTATGATCTCTTGTGTCAGATCATCCTCTCAACTTTATCATCTGCTCTCTTGCAGGGACAGCAGTATACAACCATCCCTCCATCTCTGGTCCTCTATTTTTTTATCTTGTTCCACCAGTTGCTATCGGAGTAATATGGTTGTGATGTGTGGAGGCAAAAATTCAGTTTGTATGATTGTCATTCATGTGCTGCAAATCATTTATTTCTGATGCTATATCCACTTTCCAATTTCTGTCTCCACTTAAGATGAAATTTCAGGTGCACCAAGCTCACCACCTCATAAGAAATCCCTGGTCTTTTGAAACTAGGTCCACCCTCTTCAGTGACCTTGCAAATAATGGGGAGAAGCTTTTTTGGAAGTTTGCTCCAGATTGTCCCCTCATGCCTAGGTTAACCAAGCTCAACATCTCACAAAACTTCCTGATGTCTCAAAATTGTCATCTTGAGAATGGTGGGGAACAACTTGTTTGGGTGTTTTCTCTGGCACATAACCTCTGGTGTCAGACTGTCCTTCGACCAGCTAGTCACCTTACAAAAATTTCCTGGTGTCTCAAAGCTTGCTCCATCATCTTCAGTGACCTTTAAAATGGTGGGAAGAACCTTGCTTGGGAATGCATCCAGCTTGTTGCCTCATAGGCTCTTTGGTCCCCCATGTTTTGTGACCTTAAAAATGAATGATTTGGTATATTCCATGCCCAGGTGCTTTGAGGATTCCACAGTTCCATCATCCTGACACTTGATTTATTGTGTTCAGAAAAATCAAACTTTGATTAGGCTACTGCATCCAACAATATTGCCGATCTAATTACTTATTCTGGACAAGATCTGATGCAAATCCCATGTGCATTTTTGGTCACATCCACCATAAGCTTGTCCATCTTAGATATAATCTTTACCTTCAGAGATGCATCGTATCTTCAAGATGCCTGATATAATTTTTATGATCTTGCAGATGGTCTATACTGCAATTTCCACAGAAAATTCCGGTAGACTTGGTGCTTTTGCTGGACTAGCCACAACATCCTCGACCATCTCTGAGGTCGTACTTCAGCTTCTATGGAAACAGCTGCCTTCAGTGGAACCTCTCATCCATCTTCTCCCAGAGGATCTTATTTACAACCACCAAAATTCTAATGGTGGATTTGAGTTGGTGGGTCACCCAACACTGTTGCTGAGCCTATAGCATGCTGACAGCTGATGCTTGAAATAGAGGTTTCTCAGGACATTCAAGCCTTCAGATCTGGCGAGGTTCTATTCATATGCACACAGAGTCAAAATCATCTGTCCAGAGAAAAAAGCATTGAGATCCCCATACAAGCATGTTTTTCAGAGCCTGTTGGCTTTGCATGGCCGAATCAGATCTTTGGATTCTTTTCTGCCGTCTCTCAGCCATGTGGAGCTGAAACACAAGAGAGACTGCCTAATCCAATGTCTGGACAGGCTGCTGCATCCAGGACTGACTACCCTGATACTTCCGCCTCATATGCTCTTTCCTCCCAACATCCAGAATTTATTGCCACATCTGCAAAATCTGGTCTACATCGTCAACTCATCTGAGACCAGGACTATTTTAAGCTCCCTTTCCCATAGCCTCCCCATCCGGCATCTTACCTTGTCTTATGTGGAACCCACTGTGATGACCTCCATAGCATCTTTATGCCAGCTCACCGTCCTAACCCTTGTCATCATCCCTGGATCATCATCCATGAAGCAGACCTCTCACATTCCAAATCATCAC